TCCAAATTCATTGGCCGAAAGTTCTGAGTTTGAACCAAAGTAAAATGAAATTTCATCCCCTGTTTTCAATTTTTCGGCTCTACCACAGTTGCCTCTACCAAATGTATACCGCTGATACGCGTGTGGTTTCATCTACTGCAGAAGGTCATATGCAGTTCGTATTCTTTAGAAACCTCTCGTTGCGGGTATTTCATGCAGACAAGAGTGACCATTCTTGTTCTTCTCGCGCATTAATTTTCAATTAATGGAAACTTCATTATTAACTGCAGAAAGATGGGCAGGGTGTACAAGCCATTTTCCCCAAGTTAGAACCACTTGTAGTCTTGTCCTCGACATTTTTTGCTCTAAAGAATTTTACATTCAGTTGAGTATTAGCGTCGTCATCATTCATATAAATTTCATCTTCTACATTTTGAGTACGGGCTATATTGTGCGTAGAATTTTTCTACTTTAAGATATTTACGACACAAGAAACGGTAAAATTGAGCAAAAAAGCAGTTATTCGTTATCATTAATCCTCTATAGATGTCAAAAGACAAAAGATTAGCCTTTTCTGATGATTCATTCAGCTAATCTTTTGTTTTTTGATAACGAATAACTGCTTTCTTGCTTAACGTTACCGTTCGTGTGTTCTTGTTTTCACAAGACCAGTAACTGTTGATATCCTGGACTAAAATATCGTGCAAAAACCATGTTTCTAAGTATTATTCTTCTATGTGTTGTGTCGCCTAACCACTGTCTGCGCGACGAAAAGGGTATCTCATGCAAGGGTGGAAGAGCCTTCTGACTATTAACATTTAATGTCATTTAAAAATACCAAAACTCAAAATTGCCTGTTTATAATCATCGCAAGCTTTTTACTTTGCACAGTAGTCCGTATTTCTTTTTCGCTTTTTTACTGCGCCTCGGCTCGAATGTCATTTCGGCCTTTTTAGGTAAATAAATCAGGATGAAGCAAGAGTAATTTACCATAATACAGATATGAAATTCTAATGAATGGTATAGATCTGAAACGATAAAGAATACAGTCAGTTTTTACTAATTTCAGGTCAACTCCAAGGCTGTGAGACAGTTTTTTGCATCTGCAGACCTTTATAGTTAGTTCATTGCTGTTGATCATAATAGAGGTAAACATCGTCACAAGCGGGTATGTGTTTGCGTCTTGCTCTTTTCTCATATTTATTACTCAGAACCGTTTTATATTTAATACAAGGAAGGAGTCGTTCAACAAATTCTAAAAGAAAATAAGAAAAGTGAAACTTCAGTCGGTGGTAAATGGTGTTCTGAACCTCCGATGGTTTTTATTATTTTATTCGTTGTAAATACTCTGTAAAATGACAATTAAAAACAATTATGCACAAACCAAAACATGTTATTGAAATCAATAAATAAGATAGTTAACAATTAAAACGTTCCACCATAATTAAGTAAAACGTTTTTGTATACTGTTATTATTTGCTAGACCATAACGTTGATTGTCCAACGTATCTGGGAAGAAAATCACTCCTCTCCTCCATCGGAGTCATCATATTGCTGTCCATATTCTTTGGTCTCAGCTGTTGGATCCACGCCTAGAGTCACTGTAGCCGTTAAACCACGTCGAAAATCATTTGCTCTAAAGAATTTTACATCCAGTTGAGTTTTAGCATCGTTATCAATCATATAAATTTCATCTTCTACATTTCGAGTACGTGCTATTTTGTGCGTAGAATAGGGCCTTTCACGAGCTACTCGATCGGTAAACCTATCATTGAAATAAAGCTGACCCGTATGAGAAACATGACCACCAGAATAGACACCCGAAGAATTGCTGACCATAATAATATTCTCTTTGGAGCTGCTGTGCACTTTAACATGAATATGTGTCGCTCGCCCACGATACCAGCCGGGATAGATAGTTTCAAATTGGGCAACTCCATCTGCATTGGTTAGTGATAGACCTAGTGGTAATGAACACTTGGTAGTGGTGATGAACTGTGTGGTGGACAGCAGTATCCAGTTCTATAATTCCGCGGAAATTACCAGAACTGCCAGAATTCGACACATTCAAATGTGTACTGTTCCTAATATTCTGTTCACAATCTCTGGTTGAATTTCGATGGAATTCTGCTTCTGCTAAATGTGATTCTCTGAATTCTACCAGAATTGAACCAGATTCTGGCGATTCGTAGAGAAGACCTGTAAAGAGCTATAGTAGTTCACACTCAGATCGTCTCTACGAATTGATAGAATTCAGAGAATCACACTTGAATTCTACCAGAATTGGACCAGATTCTGACAGAACTGAATTAGAATCTCCCAATTCGTAGGGAGGGAGTGTATGAGAGTGAGTGATAGCGATAATTCTGCTAATTCTGTAATTTTTCACGGAACTGCGGAAGTTGACACCACTCGTGGTGGAGGGGTCTCCTAGCATAGCACAACATACCTCGAAGGAACGTCTCGTTATCCACGCGACCTTCGATAATACCCTGACTCAAAGCAATGAAATGAGAATATAAACCAACAGCATCGCACTGCCAAATATCAACCAGAGCATTTTGCAATGGTTCACATGTATTCGTGTCGAGGACACGGATCGTTAATCGAAAGGGTATGCCTGGCTTGCCTTCGGTGATGTCCTGTCGCACGGTCGAATTCCAATAGTAAGGTCCTTGAGTGGATTCTCGAGTTAGAGTGCAACCAAGATGGCCCACGGCCTTTCTACACTTTTCCCCTAAATGATATTAAATGTTAATACTCAGAAGGCTCTTCCATCCTTGCATGAGATACCTTTTTCGTCGCGCAGACAGTCGCTAAGTGCCACAACACATAGAAGAATAATACTTACGAACATGGTTTTTGCACGATATTTTAGTCCAGGATGCCAACAGTTACTGGTCTTGTGAAAAAAAGAACACATTCGTTATCATTAATCCTCTATAGATGTCAAAAAACAAAAGATTAGCTGAATGAATCGTCATAAAAGGCCATAAAAAAACAAAAGATTAGACTTTTATCATGTTTCATTCAGCTAATCTTTTGTTG